ATCTTCGGTGCTGGTCTGAGTACCAATTGGGAAAGCGAAATAGCGTGGCGGATCGCTCACGGTGTGGTCAAAACAAGGGCCTATCTCAAGTCATGGCGCCAGTTCGCCGTGATCGATCAATGCGCGGGCTGTGGCGAGCGGGAAACGATCTCTCATGCTTTCTGCTCGTGCCGCCTCGTGTCTCCTGTGTGGAGCTGGATGTCAAATCTGATAAATCAGTTTTATGATCAACCTCTTTTACTTTCCGAATCTATTATTTTATTACGCCAAGGGCTGCCCCAAGGCTCCTCTTGGGCGCATTCAAATGCCATCACCTCCTTTCTAATAAAACTCACCCTAAATGAGCTGTGGGCCGCCCGGAACCTCGACACTTTCGAATCTAAACGGCCATCCGCTCAAACCATTATCTCTAAAATTAAGACCCGCATTCGCCAACGCATAACAGCCGCCTTTCACATTACACCTCACGCCATCTTAACCACATTCTGGGCTCACCGAAATGTCCTGTGCTCCTTTGCGAATCAGCAACTTATAAGAAAGATTAACCCCTCTCTCCAACAAGCCCCTTCGTCGGGTCTCCTTAATTGGTGCACTGTGCAGAGGCTCCCCCCCCCACCTGCAAATATTGTAAAGAATATGAAACCTTTCCTGAACAACTAGCACTTACGCCTTTAATGTAATCCAACTCGTCCACAAGCTACGAACAATGAATCCCTAGTAATGCATTAGTTCCCCAATGCGCCGCACTGCACAGCGGTATTCACCTTCAAATGTTCTGTTATTTACGATCAAATGTAATTTTCCCTGATTTGTTGTGATCGCAATCCCCGTATCTAAATTATCCAATTATTATAATCAATCATTGTAAGTAATCAACTACCTCTGTAAATAAAACATTGATTTAAAAAAAAAAGTACAGTCTGCAGTTATATATATTTATATATAGATATTTATATATAGATATATATATAACAAAAGTATATATATAAATAAATATACTTTTGTTTTTTGCACGTGCGCTCGTGTGCATTTTTCACGTCTCTAGGCCACAAATATTTTCTTGATAGTGTACAGCTTACAATATAACATACAAGATAAATGTATGACCATCAATATAAATGCTTCCTCCCTTGCTATAGATGCCATGACATTTGGCCTACCAATTCGGTATGGCAGAACATTGCCATTTCTACGGAAACCACACAAAATATTAAAAATCGTTCTTTGAGTGACGCCTAATAACTCGGCTGCTTCGCGGGCTGGTTTCCTCATTCCCAAAATAAGCCAAATGATTCGCCATCGCAAATCTGTACTGCAAGGGTAGGGCATTTTTCAAACGAAAGAACAAAACAGCATGTTCTTTTCAAAGTGAAACAGAACCCGACAGAGAGAGAATTTCTCATTAAAAATGAGATTTTTCACATGTTGGACAATGACATGTAAAATATGCACACGAGCGCACGTGCAAGAAAACAAAAGATATAGATATATATCTCCATGTGAAAACCTTTTTGAAAACGGGTGTGTATATATGCGCATATATATATATATATATATTATTTTTTTATGTCTCAGGCTGTGAAGAATGAAACCGGCGATTGTAGTGAGACAATGACCCGAAAGGAGTGGAATGTCAAAGAGTTCATTGGTAACAATGCTCAACTTCGACTGGTCGACCTCAGCTCTGACGGTTGGGCACACATCAATTTCGACGATCTGAGAGGAAACATAAGCTGCACAGTCTGAGAAAAAAGATGACGGCCTAAACTGATCAGAGTATTATTAATGACCTTCTATTGGTCACCAGTTGTAGTTACTTGACATTGTTCGAGTCACGTTTCTCTCATGTGATCTACAAAGCAGTACTGATAGTTTGTTTGTCCTGACTCTGTTCTCCCGTACATTTTTGCTGGTGCATATGATTTTGCTCACTTCTCTTTACAAGAGATTCAAGTCCCTCATGCAGCAGCACATGTATATCCAGGTTAATTGAGTCAAATTTAATTGTCATAATCTTGCTATCACACTTCAAAATTTAGCAAAGATAAAGGTACATCATGTGGATCACTGCCGAGCAAATAAAGCCTAACACTGTACACTCATTATAAGAAGATTCGTTATCAGTGAGAGGGTCTTAATGGAGTGATGGCTGTTACTGCTAATGGTAAAATGTTTGGCCACTTTACAGCTAACGGTTAATATCATACCAGTTGTTATCACCAGAAATTTTTTGTTACGGTGAACTCTCTTTGGGAGTAGCGGTTGAAATTTGTCAATTTTGACACCTAACGGCTAAATTTTTCGACCTTTTTACGGCTATCGGTGAACCCCATTGAGACCCTCGTGTAGCTGATTGCAAACAAACAAGAAACCTTCTGTAAGCCAAAATAATTTTCACCTACTAATAAGTCAGCATAGAAAGCTATGCAAGATGTATAATATTGACATGTTGAAACTGCAAGGAGTATTTACATGTAGATCCCCTCTTGAAGTTGTAAGGGATAAATCTTGAAATGCCATGAAAGTTACTTTGCTATACTTAAATTGAAGATTTCACTGCTCTTTCATTGATGAGTGGACAACCTATTCTATTTATGCCGCCCTTCCATAGCTCCTACAAATTCCCTTTTTTTTTTTTTTTTGCGATTGAAAAGCTGCCTTTAAATCGAAGAGGACTTTGAAATAGGAGGCAACAATGCATTTTGAAAAGAAACGGCTAAGATTGGATAATATAACAACAGATTGCAAATGACAAACTTCGGAGATCTCGCCTTATCCTCTCTAAAAAGAACGCGCAGTGTTCATGAACGAAGTCGGGCTGACTCCGTTATAGGGCCAGACACAAAAATCCTATGTTTTTTTTTTTTTTAATTCATTTCTAGAGTCAATCGGGATTTTGAAAAAAATCGAGGAATTTTAGAAAACTTAAGGATTTTTAGACGATAATTTTGAAAAAAAAAAAAGCTGATAGCATAAAAAGATTTTACTTGGTCCTTCTTCCAGAGTTTCCGAGCGGGCTCCATAAAAATGTCAAACTCTGCCAACCTGTCGTTATCGTTTGTTGAAAGAGACTGATAAACGTAAGAATACAAAGCTGATGAACCACTGCTATTTTCTAGTAAATAAGTTATAATTTTAAACCTGATTGAAGGAGCTTCCACACAATTTCACCACATGAATCTCGCATTTTACGAAAATGAAGTGATAATTTTCAAAAAATAATTGAGACAAGGCGGGATTTTTAAAGACAATTTCGAGATTTAAAGAGACAAAAGTGAGATTTATCGACATTCTTTGGAGAACTTCCCGATAGAATTTTAAGCCATTTTTCTGGATTTTTGTATCTAGGCCAACTCTGTCGCAATTAAAGTATGCACACCATGCAAGTGGTCCCACCAGCAGAGCTTATTGCCGGGGTGCCACTCCAACCGAAGTAACCCCAACTCCCCCAACAGTATTTTTCGGTAAATGGGAATGAAATTTCCCCTGTGAACACTACAGCCCGTTTAAAGGATTTTCTTGTGTGAAGAGTAACTGGGCAGAACCTTCCCTTAAGAGCAAATGACAATGATCGACCTGCACCCGAGCCTCGGTTTAGGGAGAACTTGGTGTAAGGCTTGTACGAAAAGCTCCTGGTACGAAATAATCCCAATGTTCATATATCTGTGTGGTAAAGATTTCGTATTCCTCTATAACATTAAATTGTAATCCTATACCATCTCTTCCTTATATTATACAGGACCCACAGGCAGGTTTACCACCCTGTCCTTTAGTGCTGTCACTTGCCTCCTCTTCCACTTTTTTTTCTGAGTCCTGGTCATCTGGCGGAGGATTTTGGTCCATCTCCTCGTTTAAAACACGCATGGGCTCATCTCTTGGTGATTCTAAAAGTTCCTCAAGCCTGAGTGCATCGGGAACACTTGCTTGTAGTTCCTTCTCGTCAACTTTGTTACCTGTGTGAAAAGCAACACTAAGTTTGTGACAAGAGATAGCGATATGCAAACCAGCTTTCACTGTTGCGTAACGTATACTACAATGATGGTCAAAAAGCCTTAAAACAGTTATTAAAAACCTTCCCGGAATATTTAGAGGGACTTTTTCCTTCGAAGAGATATTTTTCAATAAAAAATGTGTTTACGGATTTCCCCCCCCCCCCACATTTTCCACCTCAAACAATGTAGTTAAAAGAAATAACACTAGCAATGGTACGAGACCTGAGTAACGCAAACACAGCACCTAAATTTCATCATCTTTTGGTCATTTAACGAATGACGTTACGGCAACAGCAAAAATTATTTCAAAAATTGCTTATTCTTCACAGGGAAGGTATAACAGATTTCTTTTTGGCAAAGTGTTATAACAGATACCGTAGATAACATCTGAACTAAAACAAACAATAAATGAACATAAGGGGTAAGTTTCTTACGAAACTGTAGTGCTGCGCCGGTGGGAGGGGAGGGTATAACAATATAATTTGGTTTTATAGGCTGTGTTGATAATGTACACTGGTCATCATAGAGAGTTTCTAAGTTGACCTTTCGAGCATTCAGAGCCCTTCGCTTGAAACATCAGCTTAGAAATTCTTTAAGGTGGCATAAATATAGAGGCAAGACCGATACAACGTAGATAAGTAAATTTTAAGACGGAGCACTATATTTCGGCTGGCCAAACCAGCCTTCTTCAGGTGCAGTGGGAATTAACAGAGAATTGGGGTGATGCTTCGTTGATAGCTGTATCATACGGCTATCTACGAGGCATCACCCCAATTCTCTGTTGATTCCCACTGCACCTGAGGAAGGCTGGTTTGGCCAGCCGAAATATAGTGCTCCGTCTTAAAATTTACTTATCTACGTTGTATCGGTCTTGCCTCTATATTTATATTTCATATTCGTTATTTTGGGCCGATCAGATCATCGCTGATCCAACGTACAAGAGTAGGAGTATCGTCCACGGTTGCCTGCTGAACATTTCACAGTTTTAAGGTGGCCAATTTACATTATCAACCCAGTTCATAAAACCAAATTATCTTAAAACAAACAATACCGACACCGCAAACCTTCAACTTCTTCCTCGGTGCTATGTTTTCCTTCAATTGCTGCCTCTTCTTTTCTGCCACTAATAGAGTCCAGGACTTCTTTATCGTCTTTTTTCCTTCCTTCTTTCTCTTCCTTGCTGTCACTTTGCTGTCCATCACTTCCCGGGTCTTCCTTCCAATTCCTCTCTTTAGCCTTTTCATCCTTTGGTGTAAGATTTTCATCTTTTTTGTCTTTCTCTTTCTCGGCAACATCCTCCTCTACGACACCGCTCCCCTGATCTTCAACTTCCTTGTCGTCGTTACCTTTCATCTCTTCAGTATCTTCATCCCCTCGCGAAGGCTGTTCACCTTCTCCTATATCTTTGTCATCATCCTCCTCTACCTCGTGGTCCCCTCTCTGATCATGCTTGTCGTCTGAAGGAAAGTACCTTGGCATAAGGAGTTTATAGATGTCCAAATCCCCGCCCAGAAAAACACAGAAGATTATTCGATCCACCTGTATTTGATTAAACAAACATGATTTAGGTAAGTAAATAAAATGAGCCTGGATATCGTTTCGGAGATTTCGGAAATTCTGGGCGACAAATAAAACCAGCAAAGTATCTCTTAAAATTCCAACTGTCCATGAAATAGACAAGACCATAGAAGAAGAGAAAAACGAACAGGGACGTGGAGTCAATAACGAAAAAAGTAGGGTTGCTCATGTACTCATTTTGTTTTGTTATGTCTTGTTTCTTTTTTTCGTTTGTATATATATTTTTTGCTGTCGTTGTGTTTTTCACCTTTGTTGTTTTGTTTGTTGTTTTTCTTCCTTTTAGGCTACAAAAGCGAAATATTGATTCTTTAACAAAACCACAAGGTTAAATTTGAGCTCGGCTGTGAAGAAGAGAAAGATATCTTTCGTCTCGTTTTCCGCGTGGGGACTAAGCCAAAAAAATGAGTCGCCATGAGGAATTGAACCCCAGACCTCGGTTTCCGCACTCCAATGCTCTACCACTGAGCTATAGAGACTGCATGGTGAGAAAGCCTATTACGAACTTTCTTATGTGACACATATCCTGCACACCGCTGGCTGCATACCGTCATGTGTGTAAATACAATGTGCCGGTTATTTAGACAAAGTTTAGCCGTTGTTTAACAAAACCGCATTCTAAACTACCTTCAATTTAACTGAATCTTTTATCTGAACATTCACTGTAAATAGTGTCAAGAAGGCCGAGAGCTAGCAGCAGAAGGATGCTTCTCTAACTATAAAGAATACCCGAGGCCCACTGGTTGCATAAAAACAGTGGATTGGGTTAGCCCTCGTGTAAATTACCGGCCTAATAAGTCTCTATTGGAGCCAAGTGGCCCATCCATCTGGTGCTAATCAGGTTTCCATCGTATGAACCAATTACGAGTATTACTGCTCTTCCTTGGATGGGATGCTAAACCATTGCAAGATTACCCCCCCCCACCCCACCCTCCTGCATGTCATCAGACTTCCCTGATATTTCGCCGAGACCCATTTATATTCCAGGGTGGTGAGACTATAAAGGTTGTTTTGTCCTAGAACACAACGCAACACAATGAACCAGCCAGTAAATACAACAGGAAAATTCAATGAGAAAGTTATTTCTTTGTCCCACGCTCGAGATAGGATGAAAAACATCCTTCTCTATCACAAACTTACCAGGTCAGCATTTTTTTTTCCCTCATCATCTTCTTCCTCAAGCCACTTGCGAACAGTTTCTAGTGCTACGCAGGAAGCATCATAGATAGGATAGCCTGTCAAAATCATCAATAAGGAGAACAGTACAATCTGGCGATTAACATGTACCACAATACTTCCTTGCAATTCCAAGATGTCATCATGTTAACAGGTTAATGGCACAATCAATCCTATCAGATATAAGGTGTTAACTTGATGTAGGACCAAATTCTGCTATCTTCTTCGCGAGGAATTGTATGGAAGCTAGTAGACAAAGAATTCTTATACGATCTTGGGTGTTCACGAACAAAAGTGCAATGTTTGCAATGCTAAAAACAAAGAATTTTCACTTATGCGTTTTACATGAGATCCAGGCACAGGAGTTAAATGTGAAGGATAACTGTGAAAAAAAAAAAAAAAAAATCCACAGAACAACGAAATGGGAATTTAAGCAAAGGAAAACCACATCACAAGTTACAGTCTTGGGTTCGTAACCCTTCCCAAGCTTAGTCAAATATCACTTCTTTAGTAAAACAGAAGCTTCATAAACACACAGTCTTACAAAAGAAGAAATACTTGTGGTTTTTTAAGATGACAAGTATTTCTTTGGAAAGCATTTCTGCATGGAAATCAACAGGAAGTTCTTCTTGACACACATTAAACGAGACCTTATGACAATCTTGCACAAACTTTAATTTTTTTATGAAAGCTTCAGACAAATTCAAGTCCCTAAAGCCTGCATAATCTTGAAGTCTGCCTGTTCAGTTGAATCACACTGGTATGCCATCTTTAAAAAAATTAATGTTCACATTATTTATTGTTGGATAATAATGGTTGAAACAAAACTGGTTCAAAAATCTTTCTCTAAAAGACATGTTGTGAATAGACAAACATTATTACAATAAATCCAACCGGTTGAATGATATCATAACATGAAAACAACCCTTTTGTATCAACTCACCATAAATACCAGTTGATATACAACAGAATGCCTACAAAAGAGTAAAACAAGACAAAGGAAAACTATGAGCTTTGAGGAGCAAAATAATGTCTAAGGACAAACAAATACAAGCATTTTTTCGATCCTGTAAGCTACTGTGCTTATCATCCTTCAAATATTTTTCAACGAGCGGAAAAAAGTTTACGAAAAGCTGACCGTTAAAAGATGTTCACTTTTCAGTGATCTCTGATACGATTTTATGAACAAAAAACTTATTTCCTTCTTCTGTAACAACCACACAACCGTCTCTCATGTTGAATTAAATTTTAAACGTAGAGTTATCTGTGTTGGATGTAGGGTTTGAAAATTGGAGAATATCATATGGGGTATATCTTTGGATATCCCCGAGTTTTAGTTTAGGGATATTTATTCATGTAGTGTGGCATTTTGACCACTCGCCTACAAGCAAAATCTTTGTTGTACAATGACGTTGAATAATCCCCAAGACAATGTCAAGAGGATTATTCTACAATTTTCATTGAGACTGAAGCGAATAATTGTTTAGTATTATTGCCCAAGTGCTTTCAAAATATGTTATTTTTGAAATGATTCTGTTACATTACTGTCTTGATAACTTGTATTGAAATAAGCAGCCAGTCTCAACTAGAGTTTAACACGTTTATTTCATTCAATCAAGAAAAGCTTCATATCTTTCCTTTAAAAATTGTTATGCCAAACTTAACAGCATCTTTTGCACTCTTCGGAATTGAACTTTCTTCTTTCGCATTAAATTTTATCACTTTGTCCGTAAAATTAACTAAACGCGAAGCAGCTATTTAGAAATTTAGCGTTCCAGTTATAATCACCTCGCAAGGTAATTATAGCGAGATACCACGCAATCATCGACCAATCAGAGTGCGTAGTCGTCTCTATAATCACTAAAAGCAATTATACTGAAAGCTGAAAACCGGAGTTGAGTGAACCAATCAGAACACTAAAAGTAAAAATTTAATAAAAAACAATATTTGATATACAGTATTTCCTTACCACTGATCTAACATCATGTTTTTTAACCAGATGTAAGCACTTCATGTAACAGCTTTTTAGAAGCTTCTCTTGCCGTCCAATTGGCCCAACAGTATGAATGATATCTGTAGAAAATAAAATGAAAAACCGTCCTTTTTGAACATAAAGGTAATTTCTGAAGAAAAAAAATTGACAGTTGTCTTGTGTTACCTGAGTTGCTTGGTATTAGACTGGTACATTTATTATGATTTTTTATTAATTTTTATATCCAGATAGGAAAAAATGATGAAAAGAGTATTCCTTTAAAAAATTCATAATCTGAGATCACCTGCCAAGGAATTGGTTCTTTAATATGCTGTGGTTTAAGAATGAAAAATCATTATCCAAAACTACTCAATAAAATAATGGACTCAAAGGCTTGATAATCACAGGTTACAGATTTAATCATAACCATTACAATTATTTTCCTCAAATCTGAGTGGTCTATCAACTGGTTTTTTTTTTCACTATTATTCTATAGAGTTGTAATCTGACAGTGTAATTGGACAGTTAATGCAACCAATCAGACTGAGTTCAGTCAGCTAAATCCACCAATCACAAAATTGATCACAATAACCATAGAAACAACCACTTATGATACGAAAAACTGGTAAATTTCCAAAATGGAGGTTTTTTTTAATTGTAGACATTATCTCTATGCATTTTTTTTTTCGTTAATTGTAATGGTTGATTAATTGGTAACAGAACTTTGTGTCTTCTAATTCAGTCTGTAATCATACTCGAGACAAATTAGACTCCTTCTTTGGGGTCCTCTGATTTCATCATGATTTTGTATGATTACAGACTGAATTGGACTCCACTCGGTCCTATTACCATAATTATAGATGGAATTTATGGTATCATAAGGCAGGCACAATACATTTTTCTATGTCCTAATGCACACTGCTTTTTTGCATTCATGCAATGAATAAATTAGTGTACATGCACTTAATACAGAATGGTACTCACACTTTGCTGGCAACTTATGCCCTGTTTCAGACAGAAAACAAATGATGGAAATAAATCTTGACTCAAAGAAATTGAAGAAAATAAATTCCTTTTAACAGTGGCACTAATAAGAGGGCCACTATTCCTGCAATTGAAACTCAGTTTTTGAAAAATTGTTCCAAACTTCAAAGAATTTCTCTGATTTCAAAATTCCCATGCAGACGTAACAGTCAGCACTCATCATCCACAGCCTTAACCCAACAGTATCCAATTTGAAAATATTTACCAGCTTGAAGAATATAATTATACCGTTAAAAAAGAACTTACATTATAAACTCAAGGGTATCTCAAAGGACCTCTTTAGAGTCTTCTTGGGTGTTACTGAGCAATATGTTTGGCTAATTTCTCGATAATGCTCTTTTTCTTTCACACAAATTTTTAATGCCTGGAGATTATATGCACATTACATGTGTGTAATGCTAAAGTAGTGAGCAGTACTTGTGTGGAAAGTAGAAACTACACAAATGAACTTTAAGAAACATTATTTTAGTATACCAACCAGAAGAGATTTTGGCATCACCAGTAGAGCAGCCATGGAGTCCTGCACATTCATCTCGAAGACTTGAACCAGCAGCACGATGGATACAGCCATCAACTGAAAAATAAATGAACACACCATACCTTAAAGGGTGTAGAATTTGGAGTTACACTCTAGGCACTTAACTTAAGTCAGAGGTTGTCTGGCCAGATCAGTCTACACATAGAAATAATTCTACTATAATTTTTTTAATTAGAACTGTTCAAGTCAATTTTTGGACTAAAATAACTCTGTCAGCAGTGACCTAAAAATTGTTGTTTTAAGTAGATGTTGATGCTTTTAAAATATAAAATAATATCTTGGAAGATTGAATTAGAGTTACAGGGTAACCTCAATCTCTACTACACTTTAGTATCCAACGATACTTCTTAGTAAGAGTACAAATAACGCCCAAAATGAGTACAAATATCTTGCAGCATTTGAACTCTAGAGAACCTGTTAGACAGCTTTCCTTGCATCATGCAATTTGCCTGCACTGAAATAAAACTCTGGTGTGTTGGATAATGAATTTCTTATAAAACATTCCATTGTGTAGTGTTGCTGAGTATTTTTACTTGTTGTTTGTATTAATTTTTGACTCACCTTACAGGCTTGTCAAAATATAAGGCACAACTCATAAAAATACTCAGCAAAACTACACAACCAAACATTTAATAGGATATTATGTATTTGGTGTTTCTCTTCAAGGAGAGACTGTTTGAGGAAGGAGTGGTGGCTCAGTTCCCAAACAATCACTGGTTACTGAGTCTTTATTATTGTGTGCATAGAAGACTGATTTGCATATGATTCCTATTCTGGACTCAGGAGAATGATTTTGTGAGGACAATTTTCTTTAAGCAGTCATAAGTAGTAAGCACTTCCTATGTACAAGAGAATCTGTTCGCTACTCCTTGTCAACAAATACATAGTTACATAAACTCTTCTTTTCTGTTTTAAAAGAAAAGGTTGCTGATGTTCATTATTATAATGAAGTGTATCTAACAGTACAGTTGTGGTGGATTGCAAAATTTCCCCTGTGCAATTGCTAGTAATCATCAGGCAATGGGGTCAACTTTGTTATGTGTCACCTCATAATGAACATTGCCAATGTGCCATGCACGGAGCTGTTAATCTATCCAATTGCAGCAGAGCCTTAACCCTTTGATCCCTGAGAAGGGATAGGCATCTAAATTATCTTTAGAAGATCACTGCTGAATGACAACGGTAATAGGAATAATAGTAATGATTGTCAACTAAAGAAGCTCCAAATTTTCCTTTTCAGTACCCTAATAGAGAAACTATGGAGAATATGCACCCTGATTTTGGGTTGAAAAGGGTTCAAGTCTTCATAATTTTATTATATGAGATACAAACAGCTGAACTCATTGCCTGAGAAAGACCAGTAGTATTCACTTGAAACTTTGCGATCATCAATAAAAATATTCTTTATTAAACTAAATATTATAATTCAAAGTACCTCCACCTCCACCAAGAAGAGAGTTGTTTGCTATTAAAAAAAAAGGAAAAAGTGAAATTATGCCTTATACTATGAGGGAGTACCATAATTTCCAGCCGTTTACCCGCACAGCCGATTACCCACACCAGCTGATTATTGCCTGCAGCGAAAAAAAAAAGTCAACAGATTACCTGCACAGGTGGATAATCCGCACCTTAAAACAAAGGAAATTTGTACAAAATTAATGTGCTCTACAATTCACAATGTTGCCTACTTGACAGAATGCCAATTCGTGGCCACATTTTGTGCAAATGATCATTCAGCGCCATGTTGATTTGTCAAAAAAATCGATATCTCTGGTTCTACTGGGCCTAACAAGTCCCTTAAAACGGGAAAATTCTCTTCAGCTGAAGCTAGTGTTAACTGGAAATTTGTTACTGATGCGCCGGTTATCCTCGGTTTATCTTTGTCACCATCAAGGTTTTGTTTACACGCATGCCGATTGTAATTTGTTCGTCACACAACTAATTGTGCGTGAAATAAACTCGAGTTGGCATCATGTTTTCGTGCCACTTTGTGGCACTCTTAACACTACAAATTTAATCTGAGAGGTGGAAATGCAGGTAGGTGAGAATTTTCTTCAATTCAACCACCAGTAGATTTTAAAATTGTCACATAACCCGCACCTCCCTATTACCTAAAGTGGTGGGTGTTTAAGGACAAAACAACAGATTACCTGCGGGTAAACAGCCGGAAATTACAGTAATATTGAGATGATTACACAATATTGCACTGCACATCTTGTACTGTGCATAAAAATCACGATATCAGGCAGGTAAACACACATGCATTCCAAGAACAAGGAACTGTTTTCCAATCAATAGACAAGGTAAACAAGTATGATCATCATGGTATTTTTCTCTTTAACAAGCACAGTGACCTATATTTTTCTAATTAAAACATAACAAATTAATACGGAATGAAGGCAATGACTCAAAAACTTTTTGAAGTTAATGTTGTTTAAAATTACATGATTTTTATGATTATTGTTCCATTTGCTCAAGCATTCTTCTTTTCAGGTTTTTGTCAAGTATAACTTAAAATAAGAGTGCTCCTCGCTACCACAACAATGTGTATGATTAGCACCTGAGTACATGGATAAATGGGATAAATGGGATAAGATTAGTTCATCATAATTATCTCTCAAGAAAGTACAGTGACCTAATCTTCTTTTTGCAGTTTTCAAAACAGACATTGGTAGGGAACATTTAATGAAAATGTTTAAAAGCTTTCTGAGAGCTTTTTTCTGAGGAATCACTGACTTTATAAACAATAACAGATGTACATGTAAGATGACAAATAGGTTGGAGAACAATCAGTCCAAATTTCCCCTCATTTTATTTGAACTAGCACACCATATTTATGCAATGAAACAAGTACTAAATTAAATGAACCAAGTACATCAATCAGGAGACACAATGGTCTAATGGTCAGGTGCATCAGACTACAAGTTGAGAGGTTTGATTTCAAGACCAGGCCTGGTCACTGTGTTGTGTTCTTGGGCAAAACACTTTACTCCCACTGTGCCTATCTCTCCACTCCACTCAGGAGCATAAATGAGTACTGGTGAATTGTCAGGGAAGCCTGATGAAATGCTGGGGGGGGGGGAGCAGGGGGGTAACCTTGCAATGGACTGGCATTTCATCCAAGGGGGAGTAGAATTAGTCCTAGTCACTTCATGCTATGGAAACCAGAATAAGCTGACCAGCAGGGTGCACCTATAGGCTCAAGCAGAGGCTTCCCCTTGTATAACAATCACTCATAGTTCAATAGCAATACTAAGAAAAGTCGTTTCATTGTTTAGAGTTGGAGGATTGAAGTTTACTATTAACAATGGAGACATTTAGCACCAGGGTTTTCGTATTAACGGCAAACCTGAAACAGCAGTTTCAGGTTAGGGTTTGGCATTTGACATTGATGGCTTCTACCACTTTAGCTACACCTCTCCATGAAATTGAAGAGGCCACCATATTGAATTTCTAGACAACACCAGTGTTTGATTTTCAAATGCCAACAAAAAGTCCTATTTTCACTCATTCGCTAAAAAAATATATCTAAACTTGTTCTAAAAAGACTGGTTTACATGACTTTCTGATTTGTACATGGCTTAAAAACAAATTCAGGATAAAAAACATTGAGGTCAATCACTTACATGAAAACCTACCTCTTGGCATAGAAAATGTGCGTTGAGAACTCCGAATGTGACCACAGGGCTTGATCACATGACCTCCACAATCACAATCACTTACATGAAAACCTACCTCTTGGCATTAAAAATGTGCATTGAGAACTCCGAATGTGACCACAGGGCTTGATCACATGACCTCCAACAGTTTACCTTTCAAAGTTTCCACTGAAAACCCTAGTGCTAAATGTCACTAATAACTGCCATTTGTTAGAATGTGTAAATTGTATCTTTCTTATACCTTACCTGCATTTACTATGGCATCAATCTCTAGTATGGTTATATCACCCTGCCATAATGAAATTTTTTCATTCAGGGTTTCATTCACCTCAAACATTGGTTTCTCAGGCCTATTTTCTGAGATTGAAAGTGATAAAAATATGTATGTTAACTAAACAAAGATCTTGGCACAAAACATTTTTGGTAATCAAGTTAATGTAATTGCTGGGTAAAGTCTAGTAATCACAGTTTACCATCATCTTGATTTTGGCCAATCACACTTACAGTACATTCAATGACACAGCCTTTAGCCCCTAACAGTGACTGATTAAAAATGTACTATATCCTTCTAATATCACACAGAATCAAAAATTATGCATGGCCACAAGAATAAAGGAGATGATCACCAACTACAATAACTATTGAATGTCAGACAAATTCTCACATCAGCACCTTAGGAAATGTATAGAGATTGGTGTGGAGAATATGCAAACTGATCTCAGGGTGTAAAAAGTTCCTGACTGTTACCCTAATGCATTTTAATACCTTGCTTTCCATATATGGAGTACAAATTTTTCTGTCTGTATTCTGGCCATGACTGGATCTTGTCCAAAGTGACATAGTCTTTACCACACTTGTAAAGTTTTCTCTTATCAATCAAGGAAAGATCATCATATTTACTGGAAGGTGGCTTCTCTTCATGTGCTTCAGCCTCTGAATCTACATGATATATTGTTCAATAATTATTAGTCCATAACTTTTAAGTCATGTTTTCAATTTTCCCTTGTTTGGCATTCTGATGAAAGACATCACATTGAAAGCAGACAAATAAAAAGAAAAGGAAATGTTTTGAATGGCTGACAGTTAACAATTGGTTCATGCTTTAGCGTGCACTATCGAGTTATGGAGCACGCGGGAAGTTTGGAGAGCACGAAAGAAGCGTAAGAGTTGCCCGAGGCGATAGCCGAGGGCAACTCTAGCTTCTTGAGTGCTCTCCAAACTTCCCACGTGCTCCATAACTCGATAGTGCACAGCTGAAAGCATGAACCAATTGTTTTAGAGCATAGCCGGTGGAATTGTGCATCAAATCCAACGTGAAAAACAGACAACAATAACAGTTGAAGGGAATCGTGACGGCGCTGATGCCGAGTCTCCTTTTGCTTTGTTTTTCTCTTTTTCTGCCTCATTTAAGAACTATAGCCCAAGGGAAAAGGTCAAAACATTGTCTTCATTTTTGGACTAGTAGGCCAAGTTCCTGTTTGTATCCATTATTGTTGTGAAATATATTATTTTTCCCCGCACTAACAATGGCCCCTTGCGCGAAAAAAAAAATTTCTGGCGAAGTCGGATTTGCTGACGCTATCAGCGTGCACTATCAGGATTTTGAGCACGCTTATGTATAATGAATTTCATTGCGCGACTCTGCCAGCTATGTTCTAAAAGTAAATGGCCACCAAATAGCTAAATTCTTCACTAATAGAAAGCTGTGAGCATTCCTTCCTGAATGCTGCAATCTAAATGGTTTAATGCTCCTTGCTACCTATTTCATGATCAATAGTGAGTAGAGTGTGTAACCTAGCATTGTATGGTTGTAGGTTTTAAACAAAAATGAAAAAAAAAAATTGAGTCTGTCTTGTTGTTATAGAAAAAAACTACAGTCAGAAACTTTGTTGTTAGAAACGAACAACCCTTTTAGAATCCTGCTGAAACATATTTCATTTCTGTTTATACAATTGATTTCTGTGTCTAGTCAAAGTCTTCATGATGTTGTTGGAAACTAAGTTAAGTTTCTCAAGCTAATGAAACATCTGTGAGTACAAAATGAGTACAAACAAAATGAACAACCTTTCATTTTGTTGCTGGAAATGAATGATGCTTCCCTTTGTTGTTAGAAACATATAATGCCTTTAGAATCGTTACCCAAACATATTTCAGTTCTGTAAACTTTATACAATTTATACCCAAACATATTTCAGTTCTGTAAACTTTATACAATTTATTTCTGTGTAATCAAAGTCTTCATGATGTTGTTGGAAACCAAGATAAAGTCTCTCAAGCATATGAAACATCAGTGAGTACGAAACCAGTACCAACCAAACAATCAACCCTTCAATTCATTGTTTGAAAAGAACAAAGTTTTTAGACTCCATATGATGTTGCCAGAGACAAAAAAATGCTTGAGTGATAAAGATTTCTCAACTTTATAGCCTATTTATAGTCTGTAAGTCTGATCTATTACATATTTGGGGCAACTTGGCATTTTTATCAGCAGACATGACTTGGGGCGACTTGACAAGTTTCCTGTCTGAAAAAGTTTATTTAGTGTACAGCATAACTCATTGTAGGATGGGTACAGACTGTATGTGGGGTTGACACTGACGACAATGCACTGTGCTTTATTCAAGAAAACGCGTCTCTAAAAAGTTGCAAGGTTTTGTCAGTAAGCACTTGACAATACCGTTAGTGCTGTTATCCTAAGCAATGTTAACTGTGCTGCATTGGCATCACACTAAATTGGAAATTGTGCTGATCGATTCTGTTTCCTGGTTCTTCAAAGAATGCAACTGCCCCGAAGATTTAAATTATGATTGAGCGATTTTAACTGAACGTACAGGATGACATTTCAAAGACTTTCCCGGCCTGGCCAGGGGTGGGTGGGGATACTTAAACACCTGATTTTTTTCGTCAATAAGTACGAGTAAGCATGCACACTACTATACCTTGTTAAAGTTACTGTTGTAAAAACTTTCACTTATACAGATACTTACTGTAAATCACCTTGTATATGAATACAGACTCATGTATTAACATCATAGAGCAAAATTTCATATAAAACGAGATAACTCATATCCGTGGTAGGATAAGATATATACCTGAAAGATACCGTATACCAGTGTAAATGTACATACGATCGATCTCGAAGACTTGAATTCCCGAATATCCGATCTGCAACCCACAGCCGTGTTTGGGTGCATGGCCACACAAAAAATCTAAAGATCGATCAGTAAGCTGTATGACACTAAAATGACGTAAAGAAATGATTGAAATAATACCTGGTGTTTCAGGAGACTGTGTCTTTCGTTTACCGCTTAGGCTGAAGAAATTAGACATCCTCTCCCACATCCTCGACATTTAGCAAAGCGTCAACACTACAACAGATACATTTGAGTGATCATACAAGATATGGCTTTTCCAAGAAATATAGCCGCTGACCAAACTCTCGTTGGACTAAAGTTGGATTTGTTTTGGCGCGATTTTTACTCGGATGTTTTTCATGAACTTTTGGGACTTTTTTCGCTAAGGACTGGTGTAAAACAGGGAAAAGTTATAAAATGGACCGTTTCAAGTTGATTGATGCGGATAAAGCAGCATCCTGTTGAGATGTGGGCCTTCCTTTCGTCCATAATAGATTTGAACAAGTTTTCCTGGCAAGTCCTCGTGCCAAGGTGAAGCGTCACACACCGATGAATTGAACCACTCAGTAATAACTGATAGATGATTGCATGTTTCTGATGTATCTACCGTGAATACGTTTGACTAGTAACCATGCTTTTACATCGAAAAATCTTTTTGTCACCGATCAAAATATGTAGCCCCGCGCCTTTATAACAAATAGCAGACGATTTGTCTTTATTTGTTGCACTTTGTTTGATGTTTGGAAGAGTTTTGTGTTGTAGCTGGTCGATTTCCTACTACTCCTGCGTCTAGAAAGCATAGAGTTAACATCTAAAAAAGTGTCGATCAAATGCGTGCCCGCTTCTAATTGTACGATTAAACAATATCGCATTACAGCTCTAGACGTGATTCTAAGAAAGTTATCACAATTCTCCTTGAGTCCAGGACTCGACACTAACTTTCCAACTTACTAGCCAAGTGGCTAGTGATATCTTAGATGTTATGACAATTTCAGTTTGTTTACTAGCTAAATTGGCCAGTGGAAATCGAAAACCACAAGCCAAAACTGAATTTCTACTAGTCTGTGGCTAGTTGGCTACTGTTAGTGTCAAGCCCTGTTGACCTCTCATAAACTTTATATCTAATGCTAACTGGAGACACTGCAAATTCACAAACAGAAGACGAACAACAAATCTGTACAGTTATAACAAAAATTACAGCTGGGGGCAAACCAATTCCCAGCACACTTTATGCATATGAACTAAGCAAAGAGATAATATGAATCACAAAACCCTGGGGATGCAATACTTACATTGAAAGTGTTGAATTTTCCTCTCTGTCTTGAGAGCTGTCATCGTCATTGTAGTTATCATGATCACTGTTGTCATCATCAACGTAGACATTTTTAAATGTAACAGTAGGAGTGTGGGAACTAGCATGATGGTCAATAGGCTGGAGGTGCATGATGGTCAATAGGCTGGAGGTGCATGATGGTCAATAGGCTGGAGGTGCCAAGATAGAAACTTTGGTGGGGTTACTGGAGATGTACTGTGCATGTACATTGTATCCCTGGGTAACAGATGAGACACTTCAATTTTCCATTATCAGCAGGGCTCAACACTAGCAGTAGCCAACTAGTCACAGACTGGTAGAAATTCAGTTTTCGCCAGTAAACAAACTGAAATTGTCGCAGCATCTAAGATGTCACTAGCCACTTGGCTAGTAAGTTGAAAAGTTAATGTCGAGCCCCGGTCAGGTCTCTCTCCATGGGCTCATGGGAAAAATTCAGGTGAATCTTATTTAATGCTGGGAGGGAGGGTTGATAACCAACAATTGTCTATCATCTCAGTCAGGGAGAGTAATGATAATACTCCTACTTATTTCATGCTAGAGGGGTTATGATAACTGAGAGCGTTACCCCAGAGAAGAGGTTTTTTCCGTCTTTTCTTTTGTAGATATAATGTACACTGTCACTCTTAATTGTATTGAATATTTATATGTATATTGCAGGAACTATATGCAGCTTCAAATAATGCAGTACCAAGGCCTACACCACAGAAGTCAGCTTCATTGGAACTTACTACTGTTGAGAATCAAACTCCTCAAAAGTCAAATACTTTCCAAAGTGTACCTGGTTTTGATGAGGTGGTTAATATAGCCAATTCCTTCCACAACAAGCACTCCCAAAGCTGCAGCAGCAATTTACCATTATCTGATCATTTAGTTACACCTAGAAGATCAAAGTGTCATCCTGATCCATTAGGAGATGCCTGTAAAGAGTTTGCTAAGAGTCCATTTGGGCCATCTGTAAATGACACAGCAATTAAAGCCAAGGTAAACATGGCCATTAGCAGACTAGAAGAGGATTCCAGTGCTAAACATAGCTCACAAAATAGGGGTTCTCAATTTGATGAACACCCAAGTGATTCTAGAATAAGAAGCCAAGCAACATCAACAGATGTTATGAGCGAGAGGAGTAGAATGACCCTACAGAAAGGAAGAACAAATCGAAGAGGCACTAATAATGTTGATAATGTGACAAGAGCTCAGACTGTTGATAGCAGAGAAGAGATTCACATTTCTTTTGAAAATAATGGTGACGATGAAATAAATATTGAGACAGAAGATTTCAACAGTGCAGGGAATGAAAAAAACCACTCAAGAATAAAAAGTTTAGAAAAGACATTGAGCAATGCTATATTCAGGGCAAATTCAGGGCAACCAGCCATGCAAGTACCAGAAGAAAATGGAGTACCTGACAAAGAAGATATTTTGAATAACACTTATTATTCTGTTGTGGATGAGAACATTCCTGGGACACCTGAAGGTATTATATCTTTTCCTTTTGTTCAGTTGATTGTTTGAATCCAAGTAATTCATTTGATCCTCTTATGTAATCAAGGTATGTAATGTAAGGGATGCCTGACATTTTGATAACCTTATTCCATGTAGTGACAGGATGTTGCCACTGTCATCTTCATACCTGACCCTTAGGAGTTATCATTATGGTGAATTTGACATCTCTACATGTAATTGTCTAAACATCAGTCACTGTCATGCGTAAGAGTCATTGTTTAATACTACATGTTTGTGTGCTCATTGGTTCATTGTTTCATTGGTTCATTTATTTCACACTATTTACATAAATTTCACATAGATAGAAAAGTAAAGTTGCAAGAAATGATTACAGAATAAAATAAATAAAGTACAGATTATAAAAATGTGTGTGGTGGCCAAAGTAGCAAAGGCTTTCTAGTTGGCCACCACCTACTTTTAGATAAATAAAGAAATAGTACTGAGCTGGGATTAATGTGCAAGAAAGAATTACCTGTATAAATTTAAGGTATGTTAGAGATATATTGAACCAGGCAAGAATCTATACAGGAAAAGCTTAATAAGAGAAGGACACACATACAGACAAACAAACAACAGCAACAACAATGGATGAAAGCAGAGACAGAGACAAAGGAGAGGAAAAGAACAATGCATCATCAACAACAATAGCAGCAGTAGCAACAAAGACCTACTCTGCTCTACTCTGACTATCGCACTACAAGATCAACATTTCAATTTGTGTACTTAAGTTGTCATAACTTATCAAATGTCTTTGATAAAGAATAAGATAGTCTTTTAGATGAAGACTGGAAGCTAATATATACCAGGAAACTACTGTAACACTACCTCATAAATTCTGAGCTTAAACATCCCAAGTTATTGTTTTTTTTAAAGAAAATCTTCTAATAAGTGTTAAAAATTAAGTGTTACTTGTACATCTTATAATAGTTGGCTTCTTAGACGAGTGGTTGGACCAAAATGTTTTTTCTATCTGTCAAACTTTAAGTAATTTCTGTATTCATATCTGAATATTGCAGAGATTGTTCGTGAAAGAAGAAAGAAAAGTGCTAAAGGCCAAGGAAAACCAGAGAGAAGGAGATTGTATAAAGAAGAATCGGATGGTTCCTCGTCAGACAGGGTAAAACAATTGGGTTCCATATTTTCACAGGGTGTTACTGTACATGTAATAAACTATATATAATTATGTCTTCCATTATATGTATAGAAAATTGCTTGGTTTCTAGGTGTATTTGGGATAGACCCTACAAGAGATATTTTAAAATTCATTAGATATCAAAGTACTAGTCCTTGGGTAAATGCCATCCTTGTGTTTTTACAACTTTTGCTTGTTATTTCTGTATACATGGACATTGTAGGTTGCACAGAAGTCATCAAAGATTAACATTCTTAAACCGTGGTACGTTAAAGCGTTAAAGACACAAACACACATGGGAATCATTGTGGAAGGACAGAGAAGGTAAGAAAGTTTATTCAGCTGCACTGTTTAGCATGCAGTTGTACTTGTGACAAGGATTAGATGTTGGTGATCAGCTTGGTTCCTACCAAACCCAAGTATGAAATGAATGTCTACACCCAGTTGTAAGCAGTGAATTTTAAACTCTGTACTTGAGTGGTTAGAATGTACAGTCAGTTTAATTTATTATTCATGGTTCATTGTAGGTAGAAGAAGACAAGGTATTGATTTGTAGTTAAGATATGTTATTCCCTGTTTCACAAGAAATGTGGCACACAAGGCACAGCCAAGGAAATGTTTTACTGATGTTCTCACCACATTCATTTTTTACATCTTCTGTAACCAATTACAGTACAGATGTATGGCAACATGAATGTAGAATCTGTTTGATTTGTATGATGAAAAAGCAAAATGTTGTCAGTGATGATCTCTTCTGTACATCTTTTCTCTAAAACTGTAGATCATAAGTACTGCTAAGAATCGATCAAAATGCCAGCATAATCAGCTTATCATTATTAGACCAGCAAATAACAATTTTATTATTGTAAAACATGAGTAACAGTTTAATGCATGTATATCATTTACAGTGAGGATCCAGTGGGTGAGTGGTGGCACAGTACAGCTATTGTCAAAAGAGTAAGTGCAAAGTGTGTACAAACTAAGAGTGGATCTCAGTACAAGCTGCATGGACCCATCGATGAAAATGTCACCCTTCAACAAGGTGATTGTTGTCTTTTTTTTTTACTTGTTTTTTTGTTTTTCTTTCTGTTGAATTGCTAATCTTGAAATCAAGAGCAATATAGGCAGTATTACTGTAATGTGAAACCAAGTTGTAATTTTATTTTAGTTGAACCTTGATTATCTGGACCTTGATTATGCAGATTTTCTTATTGTCAGAACTCGTCTCTCTGGTCCCATTTTTAAGAATATCAATTTGTAGCATTTGAGATCTGAGACAACTTTTATCCTACAAAGCAGAAATAACAAAGCAATGCTGGTACTACTCTATACTAAGTAAGCTTCGCATACAAATATAACAAATGTTCAAGTGCAAGGCAATATATCTATCTGGTTATTAAGTGATACAGATGGAACCTCACAGACTGATAAAATTGGCAACATGCACACACTGAAAAAAACTGAATTACCAGTATGTTATCGTTTTAGGTCATAACATGATGTTGGTTAGAGTTAATGACTGATTGACAAAAACTGCCTTAGGCAAATGTTATCAATGATGCACAATGAGTTAACTGATCCATATTCATTGTTATCTTCAGCTCATAAATATTCATATTTTCTATAGTCCAGACTCTCAGTTATCCAGACTGTTTAACTCTATCCCCAAGGAGTCCATATAGGCGGATTCATGCTGTCATCATTGTTTACATTTTCGCTCATTTGCATACGGCTTTGCGTAAAGAAGGAAGCATGTTAGATACAAATTGACTTCAGGCAGCTAAAGAGCTAGAAAACCTTAGTACATGATGAAATTTTTAGCTCTTTGGGTATAATATTCAAGGAGAAATAGTCCATCAAAAACTGCAAAATTTCTGGGTGGCAAAAGCGCTAATGAGCTCATACATTCTATGTAAAATTTTGAGTTTTTAAACCCGTGTTGCACAAAAAGTATTCAATGCATCAGGCTCGTATTTATTGGCCGAGTTAATCGTATTTTGACCTCTCGATATTCAGAACTGATTTATCTTTAGCTCCATCAGAAACTGAATTGCTTATGCTAATGAGGCAAATATTGTAAACAGGGATTCCCCTGTAAGAGGGGTTTGATGGCATTTTATAATTGTAACTTTAAGTTATATGTACATAAAAATTAACCTTATATTAAGACTAACGCTCGAAACGTCAGCTTTTGTAATTGTTACGGTGGCCAATTTACCATTTCAACTTTGTTGATATATCCAAATTATATTAAGACTGTTTCTAGCAGAGACTTCAATCGTTCCTTCTTTTATTCTTTGAGGAAGAGTTCATCTGTGCATCTAGTCTTTGTTTTTAAATGGATATAATATCTAGGAGGATAAAGTCTTTGTTGTGTCCTGGATTAAAACCGTTTTTTTAACTGGAAGGATACATGCTGCATGTACTTAATACCCTTTTCCTCTCTCCAATTCTGGATTTTTTTGTAAAGGTGGCTTCTCTAGCTTGTTAACTTTTGACAAGCCCAGAGTAAATGCAAGGTGAAAATAAATAGCACTTTTGCACTCTTATACTTTGAATGCAAAATTTAACAGCTGATTTTTTTTGTTTGTCTGTATTTTTTCCAACATTTTAGTTTTTCTTACTTGACTGAATCAAAGTGGTTTTTTCCATTTACATCAAAATCGAAAATATCCTGTAAGTTAAATACATATCTGGGTAGATGTAAAATTGTATGTGTTACATAAACCTGTATTGGAAAAAAAAAAAAGGGAAAAAGAAGAGACATGTTACAAAAAATTGCTCTAGCTTTCTGATTTTATTTAACATGTGATGGTATGATTATCATATTGTTTTTCAGGATTCCCACCTGACTTTGTCAAAGCATTTAAACAAGGCTTTCCTAAGAACTGGATTTCCCTTGTGGCTGACTACTTCAACTCTCAAAGCAGGTTTTGGTTGATTCAATTTGATACCCTAACACCAGGATCCGTACTTTCCATACTCTTCTCTGTACATTTCCTTTAGTTGGTGATCATTTCCTATAATTATTCTCATAGCCTCAGCGTTTGACTCAGGGGTGGTATTGTTAGGAGAAATTACACACTGGTCATTCTTAGGAGTTAACTCTTCCCAAAAAGTCTTTTGGAGACTCAAATCACCTATTTGGTATTCCAGTATAACAACTAGTAAGATATTATTATTGAAGGTTTGCGCCTATCTTCAGAATATTGATGTCAGAGGAAAAGGGAGGAATAAGGATTGAAAAAATTATTGACGTCTAATTTTGATTTTGATTGTTTCCAAAGGTGAACGATATTTACTTTGGAAAATTCAAGCAGAGTTGAATCCTAGTGGCAAAAATTGCAAATGCTTTATGCTGAAGGCTCAATGAGTTTAACGAGTGTTTGACCACTCTACCGTCTAAAAAATAATATTAAACTGTAATTAAAAATTGAGAAGAGAAATTAATCCCTTCAAACCGCATGGTTGTTTTCTTATTTTCCTTTTCTAATCCCCTCAACCATAGAGTAGTTTGTGTATTTTGTATGTGATTTCATTTGCTTCAACCAATCTAAAAAGTTACGAGAGCGAGAAAAAAAACTCAAGAAAAATAACGTTTTCATTTTTACCCATTTAATCGGTACAAGTGAGGAAGAGGAACAAACTCAAAAACATATTGACAACAAGAAGGGGAAAGAGTTACAAGAGGCAGATCATTCTACAATAACAACTCCAACTCAAACCAGAGCTAAGAGGAGGAACCAAACCTCAGGTATTTTGACTAGAAACATACATGAAAATATAATGCGTGTCAGATTGGCTGAAAACGAGTGCCTTTTTTCATGTAACACGAGTACAAAGTTGGAACACCAGAGCAAAGTTGGAACACGAGTGGAAATTACAAATAGCGCCCGCTGTCAAAATTTCGTCTGACTGGACTCTGTTAGCCTGCGTTGCAGCCGGACGTACGTGTCACATAATCCCCGGTATAGTCCGTCGGGTTAGACTGTCTGCGACGCAGGCTAGAGTCTGTGTGAATTTTTTTTTTTTCATGTAAATTGATAATAAGTAACAATTACTAAATTTAAAATGTGAGTTTTTCAAGGATTTCAAAATGTCACCCTACAGGTTCCAAAATGCACTCGAAGTAATGTTATTAGCAAAACTAATCACATAGAGCGCCGTGATTTTTCAAACTTAGAGCAGATTTACATGCACTGTACACTCAGGGTGCATTACACCATCTGACACCTTAAAGGGCTTAGATAGTATTAAACAGTTACGACTACATCAAAGTATTCCTCTATTTTTGTAGCATTCAAGACCCCACAGAACAGACCACTTCCCCAAGAGGTGGAAATCAAGGTACATAGAACTGCACATGCTGCACATGTACACAAATCTAAATCTGTCTCTTCTTACTTAGATAGATTCTTAACAACAGCTAATGAAGAACAACGCTATGAGTTTAAATTACTTTACATAGAGAGTAACACATGGGCGCGCGTAGAATATGGAACCTCTCTTCAAGTTTTGAACTTGATATCTTACGAATGTGTACAGCGAACGGGTGAGATATCGAGTTTAGCACAGAAAGAGAAATTCCATTTGTGCTACTAGCAACTATCTATCAGTTCGTTTACTATATTAACATCAGGAGTCTTTACTGACAAGAAAATTCGACTCTGTTAATCGACTGAGAATGATGACGCTTTGCCATTCCATTATCAATCAGATAGAATGGCGCGAAAGGTGAGTGATGCGTAAGCATATAATTTGGATATATCAACAAAGTTGAAATGGTAAATTGTCCACCGTAACGATTACAAAAGCTGACGTTTCGAGCGTTAGCCCTTCGTCGGAGCGAATAGAGGAATTGTGGGTTGTGTCTGCAAAACGTGTCCTTTCATTCACAACACTGATAAAATATCGGGACCTAAACGATCCATTAAGATCACTTTGCACACACAACCCACAATTCCTCTATTCGCTCCGACGAAGGGCTAACGCTCGAAACGTCAGCTTTTGTAATCGTTACGGTGGACAATTTACCATTTCAACTTTGTTGATATATCCAAATTATGACGTGTAAGCAGCTGATTGGCGATATCACGTTTGTAGTTCAGTACGGCTTTTTTCAGGGCTGGAAATCCTTTAAAATACTTCAGTTTATATAATGAGCCTAAAAAAAGGCAGAAACACGAAATATCTAGTAGAAATATTTTGAAGGTCAAGATGCAGGCAGTAAATCATTTGGTTTGTGCAAACGTTGTCACTTTTGACGGAACACAGACGGATCCCCAGCACACTATAGAACTTACGATCCTCTGACAGTCATACACGCACTGAGTTCTCCTTACAGAACTATGATCTGTTCATCTTTCTGTTGTGTTATCCACGCCTGCGCTATTGCACATTGTGGAAGGCTGTTCGAATCTTTAACTCCAGGAGCAACAGTAGAAAACCTGGCAACCGTCAACTTGCTTACTTACGCGCTGACTCACCCGTTTCCGATCCTCTTCAGAACCATCTCTTATGCGACATCAGGCAAAGAATCTCCGGTTGGCTCTTCTACTCAGTGTCCCTGGGGTTTTCTTAAGGTTTGTCGTTATGCTGAACTTGACATTTTTACTACAGTCTTTGAAAAGCACTCATTTTTTCTCGCAGACAACAAGGAGTGGACGTATGGTAAAGCCACCTTTAGCCTGGTGGAGAGGGCAGCGTATTATTACTGATGGACATCACAACTTTGAAGGCATTCATCCGGGGTGCGAGGAGCGTACTCCCATTTCTTCCATGTACAATGTCAACATTAAAATTTCCATGGTGATTATTTTTCTTTTCTTTTAAGGATGAAGTGTAATCCTAAATAAAGAGAGCTAAGAAGATAACGAAAACTTTGTGTGAGGGATCATTATCTTTATTGTTTATTTACTGTATTCGTTACTCCGATCAGTTAGTGATTATTTGTTTTGAGTCTTTTGCTCTGATTACTACGAGTGTTACAATTTTACTCGTTGTATCTGATACCTACTAGTAGAAAGGGAAGTGACCCTCTGTTTTAAGTAATTAGGTCTAAGCTATAAGGTTTTCGGGGGGTAGGTGAAGGTCTCCAAGAGTTGATAGTAACAGTGTGAAATCTAGTCTCTGTTTAATTTTCATTACTTTGTAGGTCGAGGAGCTATCTCCAAAGAAGAAAGGACAGCTTGTTTCTAGCAGTGAAAACAGTAACACAATGCCAAGAGTAAGAAAGGGAAAAACAGCGCGGAATGAAAACAAGTCTAGTGGACGCAGCGGCACTGAGAACGATACTGATGAGAATATAAAAAGACCATTGTTCTTCTCGCCAAAGAAAACAGTTCTTAAAGATCAAGATCAAACTAAGAATAATATTAGTCCCAAAAAGCGACCTCAACGGAAGTCATTGAACAGTAGTAAGAGTGGAAGCCAAGGATCTGGTTGCACAGTTAGTGCAGTTGATGATTCAGAACACAAGAGCAGTATAAACCAACCGTTAGTTCAAGAGCATGAAATGCTTTGTGAAGATGTATCTCTAGCCCCAATTATTACGCCAAAGAAAAATACACCGCAGCTTTCGAGTTTGGACAGAAACAATCAAAAATGCAAGAAGAAGAGCAGCAATGAAAAGTTATCAGCAGAAAGTGAGAGCGAGGAGATTCTCTCTCCATTCAAGCGTGTTTTAAGATCTCAGAGAAGTAAAGGCGGTGACTTGACATCAACAAGTGCAAACCCTGACAAGTTTTCTGATGCTGATTCCGAGGATTCCCAAGCAGAATCAAGCGCTCAATTGTCAGAAAAAAAAAATGAAGGAGCTTATTTAAAGCAACCCGAGAAAGAAGGGGTTCGTCTGAAAAGTTTAATATCCCGTAAATCAAATATGGAAACTCATGGTACATTGAAGAACGACAAAAAAGTTAAAACGGGCTCCAAAAGAAAAGGAAATACTCCATCTGATATTGAAAAGGTTTTAGGCAAGAAACAAAAATTAGAAGTTTGCAGACAGACAGCCCAAAATGAGATTCCTTGCACTGATGGAGAGATCAAAATGCTCAATGGTGCAACAGAGAACGGCAAAAGAGTTGAAACTCGATCCAAAAGAGCAGGAAAAACTCAGACTGTTAGTGAAAAGTTATCAGACAAGAAGCAAGCGTTGAAAGTTTCTCGACAGGCAACCAAGAAAAACAGCAGAAAGATAAGTGATGAAGTGCGTGATGAAACCCCTTGCACCGATGGAGAGATCCAAACGCTGAAAGGCACATTGGAGGACGACAAGAGAGTTGAAACTCGATCCAGAAGAGCAGGAAAAACTCAGTCTGATAGTGAAAAGATATCAGACATGAAGCAAGCATTGAAAGTTTCTCGACAGGCAATCAACAAAAACAGTAGAGGGATAAGTGATGAGGTGCGTGACGAAACTCTCTGCACCAATGAAGAGATTCAAACCCTGAAGGGCACATTGGAGGACGACGAAAGAGTTGAAACAAGATCTCAAAGAAAAGGAAAAACTCAATCTAGTATTGAAAAAGTTTTTGGCAAGAAGAAAGTATCGGAAGTCTCCAGACAGACAGAAAACAAAAACCACAGAAGGAGAAGTTTTGAACTGTCTGATAGAACTCGTTCGACTGATGAAGAGATAAAAAAGCTGAATGGTACATCGAACAACGGTAAGAGCGTTGAAATTGGCTCCAAAAGGAAAGGAAAAACACAATCTGAAAGTGGAAAAGATTCAGGCAAGAAAAAAGCCATGAAAGTTTCCAGACAGACAGCAAACAAAGACAGCAAAAAAAGAAATGATGAATTGTCTGATGAAGCTCCTTGGACTGATGAAGAGATCACAAAGCTGAATGAGTATGTAACATAGAAACTGAACGTCTAAATATATATGTAACCCAGAGCTTTAAGGTTTTAGTTGATATTGTTGTAGAATCATCAGGTTTGATCAAAATCCAATGTTTCTTTTTTTTAAGGAAAGAGATCTGTCTAATGACAACAATAGATAAGAAAATGACAGAAACTGACTTTTAAACTCAGATCAAACCTCAATCGTTTTAACCGCATTGCAAACTGCTTCCAAACAAACGCGCTGGTGTGCCTGCGGAGCACAACATGAAGAACGTAGTAATGATGGAGTTTCCGAAAATCCGCTTTGGAAAGAGGAGCCGGGTTTTGAGTAGACTCCAGCATATATAATGTAGTGCAAAAGTAATTTGAAGAGCCAAAAAATATTTAGCGTGAGCTAAAGGTTGTACGACATTTTTGTATCCACCCACCACTGCGTGAAAACTAATGCCAAATCGTCAAGGGCACTTTTCTATTGAGTGTAGTATAATAAAAACCATGGTAATCACAATAACCAATCAGAACAAATCAAAAAAGTTGAAGGAGCTAGTGAGATTTCAAAGTAATAACAGCCAAACTTGCCGAAGCACGCGATTCGCGAGTGACCAAGTCATGATTGGTTTAGTTTTAAACCTTGTTATAATGCAAAACAAATGCAATCCTGGATGACTTTCCATTCTTGGAGCTTACTTACACCGTATTCCTCCATTTCTTAATGGTTTCTCTAATGCTTTACCTAGAGCACTGCACTCCATTCCCGGCAGTACGCCTCTGTTTTGGCAAAAGATCTCTAGGAAGGTAGGAACACGGACTGCACAGGAGTGTCAGTCCCATCACCAGGGGCATGTTCTCGTTTCCAACAGGAAGAATCCAGCAATCAAGAAAGGCCCTGCAAAGACGAAGGATCCGGAGCAGAAAGGTGAGAGTACGATATTAGGATTGTTACAGCAACAACAATGGGATGTCATAGACAATTTTGCCGAAAGGGAAGGAAACAGTCCCCCGAATCTCTATTCTCTTTTTCTGAAAACTTTAAACGCTGTAGCTTCAGTCGAGTTTCGCAAATTTGAAGTTCCCCGGGACCGAGAGATTTTCGAGAAATGGTCTTAACTCGAATCAATGAAATCGAAGACCGAAGCTTGAAACATAAGCTCCAAATTCTGTTCTCGATTCTCAAAACTTTCCCGCATGTCAGGAACGAGAAGAAATAATAGCCATGTTGATACTAACCTTCATTATTAGTCATCGTTAGTTATTCTAACATGGCAGGGAAGCGCCTTAGTCGGCAAAATTTGACTTAAGTTTTTCTTGGGCAGTTAACTTTTTGTTCTTCTTATTTCTTTTGCGACTTTGATTTGATTGTCTCTTTTATTTATTAGCTGCCTCCCAACAGAATGTGAAGATAGTCACCGGTGGAGTTGGCACCATCAAGCGAAAGCGAGAGCTTCGATTATTACTGGAGCAGCAGGATGTAGACTACGAAGATGATATCTTTGACTCGACTCCATTTAAAAGAAAGAAAGATCTGCAGGTAGGCCGCCTCTCCCCGTCAGAACCAGACGTTTTGAATTGTGGCTTACCAACCCATGCCCAACTTATTTTTAACTCGTGACAAAATCCTTGCTCCTTTTAACAATTATTCACTGAAGTGGAGGAGAACCGTGGGGGATATTTACTGAGCCGCGAAACGGCAAGGTAAATATTCACCACTTTCACCAACTTAGAAGTGAACAAGTGTTTCAGTACATACCACTCAGAAACCAAAAAAATAAGTCTATTTCTGTCAATGTACCAAAATGTGGTTGGAAATTAAATTGGTGACGCGTAATTTTGTCTCTTTGGCTGCTCGAAGGCGAATAGTGCATGGTACTCACTTTCGAACCAGCCAATCATCGCGCGCGGAAAGCACCATTCACCTTTGTGGTAAATACTAATTCTTGGTATTTCTCGCATTTTTTTAAATCATTGGTATCCAATCACTCAATGGTTTATTAAGAGTGGTTGATGTTTGAAGCTTTTTTAATAGTTAAGAACTTTTTTAAATGTCAAGCCAAGAAATGATCTCAGATGGACTGCAATTTTAGCAATTGCAGAAAGAAGCCTGAAAACATTCTTGCTTCGACGGAATTCGATCCTACTAAAATAATGCAATCTATCTGCAACGATCATTTCTGGGCTTGACTTGCATTCACGAGTCAATACAAGTTATTTCATCACAATTTTTTATTAACTGTATCTTATATCATTTCTCTCGTCAGCTTCCGTTCAATCTGAGCGCTCATAGCAGCGACGAAGAAAATAATGAGGATGATGATCAGAGTGACACAGAGCATAGTGCTTCACATAAGACACCCAGCAGTCGCACACCCAGTAGCCGTTTCCGTCCTTTGGGTCCTTTGTCGATATCGTCTACTCCTGGAGCAGAGTTTGTCAGTCCCAGTCTCTTGCAGCTTGTCAACAGGTCAGAATTATGATACTCTTTTGGTGCAACGTGTAGTTGACTATGAAAATACAGAGCACATACCCACAACCAAATCTTGACGGCTAATTAGTTTTGACGGCATAGTGAGGTTCTTTCCTAATTTTTCATCTAGTCTTGTTCCTCACCTTTGTCATGACTGTAGAAAGGATGAGATATTTGTTGCGGGAGTTTTACCACTCGCTTGGCGAATTAACTAGAGGTACCAAGACTCGATACTTTTCTTCTTTTATTCTCTTCTCTTCTATCGTTGCTACTACCACAGCTATTTCTCTTCTTCTTCTGACTTCAGCGAGGAGTGCCCTCTCATTTAATGTAAAAATCACAGACATGTTTGGTTTAGCTGACCGTGGGAATTTCCAAAACAGGATATTCAGTGTGGGTAAAACTCAAGGTCCGTTTTACCAACCCAAACTTGACCACCTAGCAAAGTAGTTATCCTCAACCTTAACAAGGGATTAAAGTGTCTAGCACGGTAAGAACTGAGCCAAGTTCAAGCACACTAAAAATAAATGATCAAAACTATAGATTCATCAAAAGAACAACGTAGACGCAAAAAGGCGAGACTTAATAAAACAAAAGGTAAACCTAAAAATACTCGAAATATCAATCCTTGAAAATGCCCTACAACATATGTTAATCTTGTAATTCTTAGAGGAGATAAACAAGTAGCATCCCTTCGCAGTATCAATGCATTGTTCAGCAAAGATATGATGAGATGAGATACGCATCAGCGGGAAGTTGTCATCCGGATGTGATATCAAATCCTCCTACAGCTGTAGCTATTAGTAGAAGGAAGTAGTTTTCAGCGGATGTGGGAGCCATAGAGTCAACAACCTTCAATCACACTCACGACGGTGTTGTTGAACGTAGCTGTGCTTCTATTTGTTGTAGAAACGACATGGATCACTACATTTACAGGATGCAACAAGGAAAGCGAGGGACACAAGCATCTGGAAAACAAAAGTCAAAGGTAAACTTTACAGCACCAAAATTTCATGGAACTTTATCCCTCCCTGATCATGCTGGATTCCATCGGGATCCATCTTGGATACCCTACAGTTCAAGTTTACGTTTAACGTTTACAGTTACAAAAAAAAAGTAAAAAAAAAAAGAAAGAAAATAAAGACTAGAATATTTGTATGTAGAAGCGAGCAAGATAACTTTTTTTTCTTTCCAGCTGATAAGGACATCTACTCCCAAGAAACCGTCAACGAGAAGCCATTTCCCTGTAATAACCGGGTCAGACTTGTTTGAAGTACATCCTGCATCAGATCAAGAGTCCGACGACGGATCCCAAGACGAGTACTTTTCTGACGAATAACAGATGAACGCGGCGCAAAGTGCAAAGTCATGGGTGCTATGGACAACTGTTTAAAAAATGTCCCATCGAAAGCAGTTTAATGCGGTAGTTTTTAAGAAGAACAAGAGAGCCATCTTATTGTGTTTTTTAATCCCAAAGCCCGAATCTTAACTACTCTGTGCAGTTCCTCTAAATTTCTCGTGGTACAGTAGTTTGTTGCAGTATCATGAAAACTTCATCAGGCTCTCGCATTTGTCTTTTCTAATCACATCGTGTTCTAATTGTGTTTTTACATTGTAAGAAATAGTTACATTTTACTTGCGTCATGTCATGGAGGTATAGGTTGTCTTACTCAAAACCAAGTTGGGGAAGCAATTCATCGCTCGAGAAGATCTACTACTAAATCATGTCGCCAAAGATGCAGTTTACCATGAGACCTTGGCACCGTCTTAAAAAGTTTTCAAACTAATTGAGTTAGAGTACATCTTATGTACGCTCTAAGACACTTTAGTTGAGACACCTGCTTCCCTGGGCCCCTTCCATGTTTTCCTGTGAAACACTGTGTACAAAAAGGAAGGGAGAGGGTGCGAGAACAGCACATCTGAAGTTCCAACGAGGTGTCCCAACTTATTATGTCTGAGAGTACAGTTCATTTATTCCAAGATTGATGTTTAAAATAAACACATTTAAGTATAAGCATGAGGGCAATGTTGGTGTCGAGAAGATGGATTAAGACATTCCCTAACCGTGAGCTGTAACAGGACTCATCGTAATCATGTGGTATATACATTGAAATATCTAACCGGTCAGAAGCACGTGTGTTGCTATCGATTCAGTTTATTCATATAATGTGTTAACGAACTGTTTAAATTACTCAAGGCAACGCTCCGGATACCGAGTTTTTATTAACATTTACAGAAGTGATAGTCAAAGATGTGGATAGTCTTTAGTTAAATTGTTGCTTTTACTATGTTTTACTTTTACTGGAATTCGCCTCTCTTAACATTGACAGTGGTGAGAGACCTGTGTACCTGTCGTATGTTTAATAAATGTGTTTTGAGGGTCTGATGTCCTTCAAAAACTAGTCTTCTTTCAACTAGGTAACTTAAAATCCATATCAATCTTCCTCTTTAGACGTAAGACGTTAAATGGTAACACATTCTGAAGACAATGCAAATGTACAATTGTTTTGGATGGGTGATGCACTGTTATTGTGGGAAAATATATCAGGTATCAGCTGAAATGACTCAGTGACAGAAGAAAGAAGAAGAAAGGACACATTCACGGTGGTCAGTAGTAGATCACATCAATCTGAGCTCTTAGTAGCATACTTCAAAACCTTGCGAGCGTGCATCAAGGCTGGGTTCTCTAACCCCGGATCTTGGCTGGGTTAGCACAGTTAGTCTTCATATGATCAACCTCGTTCAGGTTATAGAAAACTAAACTTCACGTAAATTTCAACCAGTGTAACAGGTTGCATGAAGGTAGTTGTTGAAATCTTGTGCTGTAAACCTGTTATGTGACCTAACGGCGCGGTCTTTTAGAGGGATCACCTTTTTTCGATGAAATCTCAACACCTGTATTGGCGAGACAGACAGTTTTGGGACAAGTAAAAAGTGAAAAGAAAAAATAGATTAAGTTTAAGAAAAGATCTGTGAGCCAACTCATGAACTGGATAAGCCAGTGTAATTTATGTGTCGTCAATAGAAATTGATGTTTGATTTCCATACCAGGAGTAGGAGTTCGTGTAAGACAATCACTGTTCCAGATTTTACTGTAAAGGTTTGTGGAAAGAAAGTTCAAAAGGGTGCTGTTTCGTTTATCGAAAAATTATTGTTACAAAACTAAGCTCGGTATTTACTTGCGATGTAAGCATAGGGATAAGCATTTAAAAGCTTATGCGCTGGATGGGACGCTCGGACATAAGGATAAGCATATATGCTTATGCTGTCTAGTGAGTCATGCCGTAGTTGGCCTTGTGGTAATGCCACAATCATAGTAACTTTCCCAGTTACGAAGGAGTGGTTGGATCAAATCCGTAGCGCGAAAGTCAATTTTTCGTTTTGCTTAACCGAACGAACCGCGCGATTGGCTCGCGCGAGAACGCTTTCCCCCTTACCTCCCCAACTGAGCAGAATTTTGTCCCCAAACCTCCTCTATAGTTTGGAGATCAATAAATCAATCAGAATCCGTTGTTTGCGCCTATATTTTAAAGGCTTTACGGGGTAATAGAGGTATCATTCTCTGCGTTCATACTAAATGATCAAATTTGAAAATATGGCGTCCGCGCGGTCGACCTTCAAAATTTTCAAGTCGGATTTTTGGTTCCTTTGCGATCGAGTTATATCTTGTGGAACTCAGAATATAAAGTACCAATGCTATAGAATACTTTCCTTGGAAAATAATGGATATCAAGGTCTTAAAGGTGACAGAATAAGCTCTCGAGTCAACGACAGTACGATTCTCTAAAGTGATGCGAATTGTGGGCGTAAATTGGAAACCGGACTTTCGGGCTTCAAGCAGGGCCCAGCGACAATTTGACGATTCCATGGCTCGGTAAATTGCAAAAACTGTACGGAATGTTTTCAAGAACTTGTAACAAAGACAATTACGGATGAATGTTTGTTGTTGTCGCGTAAGGTATGCGACCTGTTGAGCGTTTTTCGAAAACCGTTCGGAAGGATCTCGAGATAAGTTCAGGTTTAGAGCCGTTCCGTAGGATCTCGATATTAGTTTTGGTGTTCATTTTTGGTGTTTCGTCCGACCAGCGAACGAAAGCCTTGATTACCAATGTGTTAGTGATGATTAATGAGAGAGCAGATACCAAAACATTTGAGTTTCGTTCAAGCATCGCTACAGAAAAGTTCTCGGACAGGAAAGGTCTGAGAAAGATCTCCTGACCAAGGTGAGGTAGTTCGTGAAGTTGAATTGTGGTATACGTTTATTACTGGGCTAATTTGTCTCGCAATCTATATTTCTACATGGAAACGAGGCTGACAACTACAGTTACCTTTCAGCTCGCTTTAGATGCGCGAATACAACAAAAAATTAACTTTCAAATCAAGTTAGTAGATTTGAAGCATATAACAAGATGGTAATAATGAATGTCACATGAATGCCGCCCTTTACTAATTGAAATATTAAATAGGTCAATATCGCGCTTGTATTTCTTGCGATTTTCACGCTTACCTCGGAAAAACGGTCTTGTTTAATCTAAATTCCGTTGTTTCATATATCAATTTGTTTGGAAATCATCATCTGTTTCAGTTCCTAACACACAGACTAAGACTTTGTAGAACGTTTGATGAACTCGCGTACAAGTCATTACTACTGACAGCTCTAACCAATTAGGTTTGGCTGGGTCCCGAGAGTACTCAGACTATCAAAATGGAGTCGAAGAGACTAGAGACCTCCCAGCACCACCTCAGTATCCGCCTATTGGCTGTTTACCATATGATGTTCGTAATAATCTTAGAAACATCTTCCAGACACGGTTACTAGCTAATTGCGTTGCTTAACAACCATTATTTCGTTGTCAACAATTATAAAGACTGTTTATTAAGACTCATTGCAGCAATATACAAAATGGCTGAATTACAGAGCTATTTACAAAACATGATAGCACTAGGTATACTTATGCGTGACAAACTCTTGCGTGCGCAAATCTAAGCTAAAATACATTGAATAATTTGGATATATCAACAAAGCTGAAATGGTAAATTGGACACCGTAACGCTCGAAAAGCTGGCGTTTCGAGCGTTTGCCCTTCATCGTGCACGATGCAAAACGTTTCCTTTCATTCACAGCACTGAGAAAATATCGGGACCCAAACGATCCATTAAGATCAGCGATCACTTCACGTGCACCTCCGCCAATGTAATCTATTGCATAACTTGTACTTATTGCAAAAAGATATACATCGGTGAAACAGGCAGAAGACTAGGTGACCGATTCCGTGAACACCTTCGCGACGTGGAAAAGAATGACAGGGACGCATCGAAACCAGTCGCTAGACACTTTAATTTACCTAATCATTCTGAGCAGCATATGGAAATCTACGGTCTTTCCTTACACTTAGGTAGCACGGAAAGCCGTAAAACTCTTGAACAAAAGCTCATCTTTCAAACCGGCAGTCTAAATCCCACAGGGAT